AATTCACAATCATTTAACATATAATCAGCATTCTCTAGTTCATTATCGTTTAACGTATCATCAGTAGATAAAGGCATATCGAAGTTCTAAATATCAAAAATAAAGTAAACCTATGCAGATATATATAAAAGAACATGTCAAAAATTAGAGTAAACATATATTACGTCGTTATACTGCGGAAACACCAGTAAGATACTAAAGTTACCCTGCTAGTTAAGATTGAATAAGAATCGTAGCTTTATTAAAAAAAAGAGCAATTCAAAATATAATATTAAAGTGGAATAAAATATTGCATAATCATGTATTTGAAACGTTGAGGAAGTGCCAACACTATCATTCTAGTTGATTTATTAACATTTTTTCTTTTAGCAAAATCATAATGCTTATATAAAAAAGATTGATTAAAGTTATCCTGTTGGAACAAGAAATACTGCATAACTATGTGTCGGATACGTCGAAGAAACCCAAATATTATTATGTCGGTCGACCTCAACAGCATTCTTTAAATTTAATAATGAAGAAAAAAATCTTTAGTAAAAATTATATACTATAATAGTAAATAGCAAGTCACAATAGAACAGAGAAAATACAATGTGGTGGTTATGTGTTAGAGATGTCAAAGAAACACAAATATCTTCGACTTGACCGATTCCAATAGCATCTAAATAACATCATTTGTTAAAAAAAAAAACTTCAGTGGAATATTATAGTTGTAAAGAGCTAATTAAAGTTATCAGAACAGACTAAAATACTAAGTAGTTATGTTTTGGGGAGGTAAAAGGAACCCAAGTTTCATTATTCTGATCGATCTCCATAGTGTTCTTTAAATAAGTATTGGTTTTTTAGTAAAATCATATAGTGGAATTGTAAATAGAAATCACAATAGAATGGGGAAAAATACAATGTGACCATGTGCGAGAAGCGTTGAATAAACACAATTATTGTCATCTTGGCCGATTTTAATAGAATTCTAGATAATCATCGTTTTATTAAAAAAAAAACAAGCCTTTAGTGGAATAATATAGTATAAGGAGTTAAAATTATCAAAACAAGATAAAAAATACCAAGTAGTTATATGTCGAAGATGTAGGAAACCCCAATGTTTCATTATTCTGATTGATCTCAACAGTGTTCTTTAAGTAAGCAGTTATATTATTAAAAAAAAAAATTTTTAGATAAGAATCATTGTATAATTGTAAGAAGTAATCACACTAGAATAGAATAAAATACAACGTTATCACGTGGTGAAAATGTCGAAGAAATACAAAGATTATTATCCTGGTCGTTCTGATAAGCATTCTTTGTGTAAGTATCACATTGTTTGTTATTTAGAAAAAAAAGAAAACAACAGTTAAGTATTGTATTGTCATATTCATATAAAAAAGAATATAAGCAAGAAAGCAAGAAATAAATTGTATATAGTAAGGTGCTAGATATATCGGAAAACAAATTTCATTGTTCTGGTCGATTGAATAAAAATTGTGTTGCATTACTTTTCAAAAATGACTTTAAACACGAATAAGAAAGAAAGGTATTGATACAAAATTAATTCAAGTTTATTTTAACAATCGAATTACGTAGACAAGCGTAATTGTTTCTTAGATCAATTTAAGGTACATACATATTTAAACAATAATATCGATACGTATCATCATCTGTATGTATAATGTAGATTATACATACCTGTGTTTATATTTAAACAATATATATGTATAATATAGATCATATATACCCGTGTTTAAACACCCCATGTACAATTATAAATTTTCTTTATTTTAATTATTATTTTTTATTTTTATTAATAAAAAAATTTAAAAAAATATGTAATTTTATTATATAAAAAATAAAAAAAAAACCAAAAATTTTACAAAATAATTATATTTTCATAAAAAATAAAAATAAAAAAAAAACAAAAAAAAAACCAATTAAAAACAATTTTTTAAAAAAAATTAATCATCGACTGGCTCATATTTCTCTTTTAGAGCAATATATTTTTTGTTTAATTTAAAATATTCACTATTTGTTTCTTCAACTTCTTTTTGAAGTTTAACAATATTTTCAACCAGAGAAAGACCCTTATTATATTTTTTAAATACATTTTTACAATTTTCTTTTAGTTTGTTACAATTTTGGCAAAGAGTTTCTTTTGGTTCTTCTTTTATTTTTTTCTTAATTTCGAGAAGCGAAAAAATAACCGTATCGATATTTTGTTTCAAGGAGTTATTTTCTATTCTAAAAAAAATAATAGCTATTAAAAATTGTTTGTAAACAAAAAAAATATAATAAAAAATAAAACTCTATTATAGTTAAGAACTTAAAATCGAGGCGCGCATATAAAGGTGAATAGTAACGAACCGGTCATTCACAAAGTTACTACCTGTGTGTTCAATAGACTAAGCCCCAGTTACTTAGACAAGAGAACACCAAAGTTCTTAACTTTAACTAGTATGCTAATCATCTAGATATTATAAAAATAAAAAAAAAAACAAAAAATACTAACTTTTGAAAAAAAAGACACGAAAAAAAAAGAGATAAAAAACGATAAAAAAAAACAACAAAAATTTTTTATAGATTATCAAGTATAAACAAAAAATAATTAATTATATATTTAATTTTGA